AGAGGGGGGAGAGAGGGAGGGAGAGAGGGAGGGAGAGAGGGGGAGGGAGGGGAAGATAGAGGGAGGGAGGGGGAAGAAAAGTATGCATCGGAAAATGAACGGAGTCTCTCATGCTCTCAAAAAATGGGATGCTTAACAAACAGCTTTTCGTTAAGAACTACACTGTAGGTCAAATAGCGCCAACTACAGGCACTGGTGCTGAACGCTATAGACGACTATAGGTTTCAGCCCTATGACTGTAGGGTCAGCCCTACTGCCTGTAGGTGGCGCAATGTGACCTGCAGTGTATAGGTCTCAACGCTGAAGCTGTTTAATCAGTGAATGGCTACTACAACGTGAAGCTAATTAAAGCAGTATGCAACATATCTCTTCTTTAAGATCTCCTGAGGAGAGTGAATCACACGATGAAAAGTCTGGAGATCAACTCCTAAACAAGGTACACGTAAGTGTTTACAATTCACATTGGTTAAATGACAAAAATACAAATGATATCGTTTGTGTAATCTCACTTCCATTTGATCATTGTTAAAAATACTTGTTCATGTCTTTTTTAAGAGTTGATTTACGAACTTCCCGTTGTGGGAATGATCAAATCGTTTTCAACGGAACATCTTGAGAAAGAAATAAGGAAGGTTCACTCCAGTTGAGATCTTTTGTGTAAAGGTTAATTCTACCAATTATCGTTAGCGGAGGAAAAACCGCAGTTTTGTTCAAGAATTCATACACCCCATCTAATTTTTCGATTCGGAAGACTGAAATTCTCAGCCTTGAAAATAAGCTTCAGTATGGTAACCATAAAGATTGTCAACTTGACTAATTTAAATTTGCCATGACTATTTTTCACAACTTTTTTTTTTACCCAGAGCTGACCTCTTTGATGATGTTAGGATTTCTTATTGCTTTGATTGTTCAAAAGTTGTGGATAATAAATGTGAATAAAGCTATGCAGCTGAACATAAAACCTTGCCTTAAATAATCATTTTGAGTTTTTAAATTCTTTACGAACAAGAGGAATGTTTGAGAGAAAAAAAAGATCATGAAAGTGTTGTCAATTGACTTATTTTGCTACTCAAAGATAGTAAATAGTATATTATTGTCATAAATTTACTTAAAATAACCGGAGACATGTTCATGGTTCTGAAGTCATAGCTCGACACATTTCCTCTTCTGAAGTTAAAGCTCAGAACTGTCGGAAGGACACAAGACACAACACAAAATGAGATGGAGAATTTAGAAAGCGGAAAATAATTAAACTTATTTTTCAGTATATACATCGTTTGCAAGAAGGTGTGCACTAAATATGTCTCGTTAAGAGCTGTTAAAAATCGAGTTGTTGAGCTTTGACAGTGGAAAAGCAATAAATATGAATCAGGTAATGTTTCAACAGCTGCGTTGTAAACAGTTAAATATGTGGGCAAAAATATCGATTTCTCATCAAAATGAACGTGCTTTTCATTGCGACACCATCAAGGCAACCGTTGACGTAGGTATGTCAAGAGTAATCGGCTCAGCCATAGAAGTACAAACTCTACAATAAAGCACGTTTTAGAATGGATTCACAAACATCACTGAAAAAAAAAAAAAACTGCGGGCGTGAAAGTCGTAGTTACGGGCTCTACAGCAAAACCGTCCGTTGCGAGCTCAGAGGCTAAGAGTTCTGGGTGCTGGAGCCGTAGCTCCGATTGCTCCACCCGTAACTTTTGGCCTCTCAGCCCGCAACGGACGGTAGTGCTATATGGCCCGTAACTACGACTTCCATGCCCGCAGTTTTTTTGATCAGTGTACCTTTCGGTGCAAATCATCATTTAAAGGACACAGTTTATAAAATTTCAATCAACCTGTATATCCTGGTCAACTGTAGATTCATAAAATCAATATTTGATTTTGCAAGGGTGGCGAAAAGCGGCAATCATTCCTCAAATTTACGTTTGACTTCAACTGTCAGTCAAACTATGCGTGACTAAATTGGTCCAAATTTAACGGATAGGTCCTGAATCAGACCAGGATCTGGCTTAAAAAGAAAATATGAATGAATGTATTCAGGGCGAGATAAAGTGTTACAAGTTTGCTAGTCAAACGTCGATATGGAATGTCCTTCAGGTTGACTTAGGTTTCATGTAATTGCAAGCAAACTTAAAAGAACTAATATACAATTGTTCTGTGAAGGAGCTAACAACACAGCTTACCTAATTCATTACATAAAAAGGAGAAGAAGAGACTTGCGTAGAATACTTGAATTGATGATTGATAAAAAGCTTTTTGCGATCTATGACTGCCGTAAACTCATTATGATGATTTGCATCATGTGTACGAGAATTTTGTTATTAACGTTAAGGAAAAATAAAAAAAAGAAATTAATGCCATAAATATTATTCAGAGGTGAGACAGAGTGAAAATCCGACGTAAGAGATTTTACCTTTTTTCATTTCTCATAATTATTTTTTGTACGCAGTTTTTTTTTTATTAAAACACTTAAAAGAAAATATAGTAGAAAAAACATCGATGAACGGATATAAGTATTTAATGATAATATATAATACTAAATAAACCAAAAGTGAGGTTTATAAAATACACAATGCCAATTTATAAACTTATGACGGTGCCCAATCAACTTTCGATTTGAGAACCTCGTAATTTTTTCAATTTGTATTTATGCAATCTTTCTTTTTACGAGGGTCATTCAAAAAGTAAGGTTCCCTACCTTGTATCTTCCAAACGAAAAGAGATAAATCAAATCGGTAAAAACGTACATATTAGGCATACTCTAAGCTTTGAAACAAACTCAAGTTTTTGGAAATCGGTTGAGGACTTCGCGAGAAAACTCAATTTTACTGAGACGACCTCCCGTCGTCGCGTGCCCACCTCTGAGGTCGGGATGCGCGGAGATTCCCTTCCTTCAGACTCGGCTTATCGCCTCTAAACATCAAATCGAAAAGGAATTTAAAAGATTTTATCAAGTAGGCCTTACTTTACTTTTTGAGATAGTCTCCGCATCTTTTTTGACATTTCTGGTATCATTACAGCAGCTCTTTCATGCCTTCCGCGTAAAAGGTCTCGTCTTGGCTCCAAAACCAGTCATTGCCAGCGATCTGCACCTCTAAAGCGGTTGGAAATCGCTTTCCACAGTGGGAGTTTTTCATCTCAGGAATAGACGTAAGTCACTTAAGGCTAAATTAAGAGAGTTCGGAGGATTGGGGAAAAATTTTACCACGGTAAGCAACTGATTGGGAAGTGCAGATCGCTGGCAATGACTGGTTTTGGAGCCAAGACGAGACATTTTACGCGGAAGGCATGAAAGCTGCTGTAATTATACCAGAAATGTCAAAAAAGATGCGGAGACTATCTCAAAAAGTAAAGTAAGGCCTACTTGATAAAATCTTTTAAATTCCTTTTAGATTTGATGTTTAAAGGCGATAAGCCGAGTCTGAAGGAAGGGACTCTCCGCGCATCCTGACCTCGGAGGTGGGCACGCGACGACGGGAGGTCGTCTCAGTAAAATTGAGTTTTCTCGCGAAGTCCTCAACCGATTTCCAAAAACTTGAACTTGTTTCAAAGCTCAGAGTATGCCTAATATGTACGTTTTTACCGATTTGATTTATCTCTTTTCGTTCGGAAGATACAGGGTAGGGAATCTTACTTTTTGGATGACCCTCGTAGTAAATTAACGAAGAAATTTACCTACTAAGTAGTGAAAATAATGTACAACTACTGCAATAACACTTGAGTTTGCTCTTAAATTATGCAAACTATGAAAAGGAGAGATTAAAGTATGCTTGGAGGGTATGTAGACCTTGCTGATGACGACTAATATGCCAGTATTGAAATAACCTTATTTTTTTTACCGTTAACGATGCACTATTTTGCTTTCAGTCAATTGTTCTTACTGGTCTGTTATGAAAACTAAGACTCCAAAATAACTATGAGTTGGTCTCATACACGGACAAAACATTTACAGCGATTGTGCATTTACTGTGACAGATTGGATAAAGTCAATCACGTCATCCTTAAATATGATTTTCAGGTGGTCGTACCCCTGGAAAACTTTTACTGTTACATTCTTGAATTTGTCGCAATGTTGCAAACTATTCAGCGTCACCGTTCCATCGCCCTCGACAAAATGTGACTTAACCGATTTAGGATTCAATATGTCATCTGCGATTTCATACCTGGAACAAATCAAAAGCGTGTGTTTCTCAGAATATTTAAGATCACACATTCAAAGATCGAATATCAACATGTCAAGATTTAAGTAACCATGCCGAGGCTCTAAGTCACGAAGAAGTTCCTTCGCTAAAAATAACGGTCATTGAGAGGGCACCTTGTCAGGCTGATGTTGCGCAGGCGCAGGCCTTATTCTCCTATATTTCTATCAGGATGTTATGAAATGTAGGATCTGATAAGAAGGTGCACACTGCAATGGTTAAAAGATTTAAAATCTGCAATTCAATGGTGAATACTGAGCATTTCTTCTTTTTAATGATTCCAACGTCCATTTGAGGCACAACGATTTTAAAGGTAGTGGATAAGGTCCGGATGTGTCACAGAGACAATAATCCAAGCTATGCGAACTGTTAAGTCAAAAGTTATGTTATGCTGATGAGTAGTTAACCTGTCTTTCAAGGCAGCAATGGTTATATTTTCCGATGAAATCTTATGATTGACGTTGTAAGTAGGTACTTACAATTAAACGAGCATTTGCAAACGAATTAGCCTCTGTGCGAGAGGCAAATTGATTAACATGTTTCAGACTGGTTAAGAATAACATGCTCTTTCTTAAAATTAATATTTCTATTACTTACCTCTGGAGGGTCTCAATTTTGTTGAGATTCGAGTAGATGCAAACCACCTTAACTCCTAGCTTATCGATATCAACAGGGAAGAAGGAGCGAACATCCTCTCTCATTAAATATCCATCCTCATATTGAAGGTCCCTGGTGGAAACCAAACACAGAGTAATCATGAAACAACTGATACGTATCGATGGCCAAAGTGCAAAACCATGTGTCTACGTTTGAGACGTTGCAGACTTCCTGACATAATTTATGTTTTCTTTGGAAACTAGTCAACGTGTTATTTCTGAAAAGCTTTTCCTTTTCCCCTATTTTGGCAGAGAGTTTCGTAGAAATAATTTCAAACAAGATAGAAGCAATGCAGATGTGGGGTTGCTGCTTTTTGGGCATCGATGTATCAAATGCTATCGTTGAGACCAATCTCTCTTTATTAATATTCTCCATTCATTCCATTTACATAATTTTATGGTCTAATTAATGAAGGTGTAAAGGCTGAGAGATTCAAGTGAATTCACTCTAGTATGTTGATATTCCTGGTCCGCAAGAAAATGTTTTTTTTCTTTTTCTTTTTTTTTTCGCAGAGGGAACAGCCTTTGTAAACTTTGTGTAAATATATTTTAGGGACAAATTAAGGCTTTCTCCAGGTTTGTGAGGACGGAGTCAACTTTCACCCTCCATTAAATTTTGAGTACAAAAACTCCACCCCCAAACTCTTTTTTGAATGCTGAGGAGAGATTAATAACATAAAAAAGATGTTTTTAAATAATAGTTCAGCTGACCACCAGCTTTCCCACCAAAATGTACTGTGCTTACGTGAATAATTCCTTGTAGTCCTTGGCAGTGTATTTCTTGTTTTTGAGAGTCCAATCGACTAGAACTGTCTCACCAAAAGCCTCTTCTGCCGGCAAGAGAAACGCCACTGATTGGAATGTCCTCACGAGCTCTTTCATCAGTGACTTTTTAAATGTTGGAACCCCGTAATTTGTTCCTAGTTCCGAACAAAAAGAGATCCAAATGAGGACTCTGAGAGGGTATATTACTTGTCTCATCGATTTTGCTCGGCGTTACACTGAAGGTGCCTACGAACGCTAGAGAAGAAGGTCGACTGAAGGTCTCCTTCCTCTCTAGGTAATCCCTTAACCATTTGATAATTTCTCAACCCACCAGCTTTTGGGCTCTAACGAAAGTGATACATTCTATTAGAAAATGAAAACTTCAAATATCACTTTGAAACTAACCTGTCCAATAGTCTGAATGTGTATGTTCCTGAAATAAAATCAACGGAGCACTTTCAAAGAGGTATTTTTCCCTTTTTTTCTTTTCTTTTCTTTTTTTTTTTGTTCCCAAGAATTATTGCTCAATATCTTCAAATAGTAAATTACCTCTGTGTCGTTAATATTACGAAAAATATTTGAATGCCGTAAGTTTCTTAACTATATAGTGTGTCTCGATGGTGGCAAATTAAATACGCTTTGAGTAGAAAGGACAAAGATGTTTCCAAAATGATTTTAGATATTCTACAGGGTGTTACACGCACACTCTGAGTAAAAGTCCAGACTAATCTATATCCGTGGCGCTTCATCCTAACTTACCTCAGTCCATCAAAATACGCCTACTGTGTAGGTTTATCAATCTTAGATCATCTTCAAGATCCGTTGCCAAAAAACCATGCCCATTCAGGCACTTATTTTATGGAATTCATGATAGATAAAGGTATAATATTGCTCCATTACCGGGGGTTTCTATCACATTGACGTACAATGATTCATTCGTGCAAAATAAAACCCCTTCAACTGAGAGAGTATGCAATCAACACAACAATACGGAAACCATGAACTCTGGGTTGTGTATTGCGTAACCGGTCTTTTGAAGAGGAGATACTAGATCTTCAATAATTTTCAATGCCACGGGAGTCAAATTAAAAGACAGTTGATGCAAATAACTAATTTACAGATAGAATTACTTTTTCAGATTATGTCTACTCGCAGTTAACCTCATGGCGAGACGTGAGTATCGATTTTTGATAATTCTCCATTTGAAGCTATAGAAAAAAATCGATTATTAATGAGGTGGTCGGTGCGAACGCCCTACTTATCGATCCTTTTCTATAGGTTTAAATGGCAGATCAATCGATACATCGCCAAGTCCGCCACATCACTGGTTAACCTGTAATGTCATTAAATATGTCCTCTTTAATCAGCGCTAATTGTAAATAAATCAAGTAAAGATTTACCACAAATAAAGCTCTTTTTTTAAAATTTTGCAACATAAAATGTTAAAAGAATTTTGTTGGCTTACTTATAAAGCAAAGGGCTGAAGAGCCACTTTTAAAGAATGACAGAAGAATATTAGATTCTAAATAAATAGACTAGGATTAAGATACTGCAGCAAAAAAATGTAGATCTCCAGAGATATATTTGAAAATCGCCACCTAAATTATATTTGCTTAATACGAGTCTAACCAAAGAAGTTTTTTAAATTTTGTATAAGTAGCATTGAATCTGTATATCAGTAATATCGCAGAGAATTTCAAGATAAACTTTTTATTAGTTCTTTTTAAAATAAATAAGCCTTAGTAGGAGATTTGCAAAGATGAAACCGGAGATATGCATCTTTCGATTTTAACTACCGATACACCCCGAGGAGCCAACTCATTCATTTTCTTTGTTTCTATTGTTTTCTGTAATCTTACCTAGGATATAGCTCTCGAGAGCAAAAACACTTCCCAGCCATGGCGTGGATACGGCGACGAAGTTGTGTATGTATTTGTCTTTCCATTCTTGAGATTTCAACCCGAGGAAATATGCGGCCACCAAACCTCCCATACTGTGCGAAACAATCGACACTTTCCGTTTCGAGTCGGTTGCAACTTTCTCAACAAGCTCCGTAAACCTGTCGAAATACCCGAACTCCTTCTGTTGTACTGACACAGAAACAAAGTTAAAGCACGGATATTCTTTCAACTCTTTGAACATATAAGTCATCACCGGGGGAAACTGAGCGTTATACGCCATAGAGAAAATAGCAGTGTAGTTGCAAACTGTCTGCTTCAAGACTCTAAGTTTTTCTTTTGCTTTAATGAATTTTAAACAGGGTCATGTACTGGAGATACTCTTAAAATATTTATCGTAAAGTTATGCAATGTCCTCCTCATCTTGATTCTTAATGCGTAATTCAATTAGATTTTTTTACGTTACGATCAAACCATATAAGCGGATCTACAGCTTAAAGTGGAAAGGGCGAAAATAGGGTCCGGGGGTCTCCCCCAGAAAATTGTTGACGCATTTGTTATGTAGCTTGAGTCAATTTGATCTTGAGTAATTAGCAAATGAGAGGCTTGGAGGACAAGGCGCATAAGTGTAGTACTGTAGTATTTACTATTTTGAAAAATACGTGTTTGGAATTTCGAAAATACATGGATACTCATGGTAAAAAGCAAGTTCAAATTGACTTTTTGATACTTAAAAAATGCAATTTGAGAGCGATGTTTTCACAGAGTATGCTTTAAAACTAGTTTTACTTAAAGTCATTAATACCTCAATGATTTAAAAAACTGCGCTTATGCGCCTTGTCCTCCAAGCCCCTCAAATGTAAGCGTATTCACTTCTTCTTTCCTCAGTTCCTTCCTCCTTCTTTTCTTCCTTCTTCATTTTTGGCACCCGTGGAGGGCCCTATAGCCTCTTGGATCTGTCTATGGACCGAACAGCTTTTCGGGTATAGCCACGTGGGCAGGATCACAGAAGAGAAGCCTCTCGAACACGATACTTGATTGGGCTCCTCCTAAGAGGAGACAAAGGGGTCCTTTGCGCGCCGTAAGGGCGTCTACAGGAGGTATTAAAAGAAATGAGGGAGGACATCTTTCTGAGGAGCTATGGGAGGATAGAGGACTGTGCTGCCGTGCTAAGGAAGAACGCCGTATGAACAATTACGTATTGCCAAATGTCCTCCGGAAAAAATTGTAAATATTTTTCTTTCAATGTTTCAGATAATTTTGTTTGCAATTTTACCTAAAGTTTTTAAAAATGTATCGGAAAAATATTCTTAAGTTTCCTCAAAAATACACATTTTATCGGAGGAAATTTGGCAACTCTCGAATGTTCATACGGTGTTCTGCCTTAGCACGGCAGTGTGACGATTAAGTGTAAAATAGCGCCGGAGAGGGGAAGAGTACTGAAACTAGCTCTTATGTATGTACCTTACAGCTTAAAAAAATGGTGTATTGGTACTGTCTCGTTTTTGTATTTATTCGTAGACTTCTTAGACGTATTTTATTCGACGAAACAACTCGGAACATCTCGTAACAGCCGTATTTTGTTCGAATGTTATTTATGTTAAGGGGCGTGGCCTATTTTTATTCGTTTAATTATTTTGCACAATTTGGCAACGTTTTGCGAAATTGTTTCGAAACAATCGGAACGTCCTCAGAGTCTTGTTACGACTGTTTTGTACATTTGTAACAAGATTTCTAACCTCACTTCTAGCTGCTTTGCTCTCATTGGTTGTGAAAAAGTGACGCAAATAACACAAAATCGGTAACAGGAAACAATTGTTGCGGCGAACAAAATACGACTAATAGACTTCTTATGTACTGATATCTGTACTCACAGGGTGCATAGCGTCCATCGTAGCCGGCCGCCTTCAAATTTATGTCCGTTGAGTAACCACTGTCCTTTAACGCGTCAGACATGTCGTTAAAATAGTTCGTGCCGATTCGGGAGAAAGGGTCTTTCGTCAAGTAGTCGACTGGCTTCAGACTCCCGAATCTCCCCATAACGCGTGTCTCAACACCGGCTTGGTTACGACATCGGTGCGCAGCTCTATCGTAGAACAATCGGTACCTGTAAACCTGAACAAATCCAATAGGTCTACTTGCATATTCCAATTAATTCATAAAAGGTATAGAAACAAAGGGCGGGTTGATTTTTATAACTGTCAGGAAAAAGGGAATAACCAAAATTTCCCTCATGTCATGTATAAACAATTTTGCAGGATCTCTAAACACAAAGTCGCAAACTCCTCTACTCAATTTCGGTATGAGCCCCAGCAAAAATCGATTTATATGTAGAACAGGGCTCACTTAGAAATTGAGATACACCCGTACGTCAGAGTACGAGTCAGAGAGATAGTACCATATGTAAACCAACGAAACAGTTATAGTATCTGTATCTAATAACGTTTTGCATAGTTTTTTTTTTAACTCCGTTAGAGGAAAAAGTGACCTGAATCAAAGAGAAATATCCTCAAATTTACCGCCGAGAAGATTTCCTTGTGAGTCAATAAAGAAAATAATGCTTTTCAAACGAAAAAAGATGCTTTTATAAGAAGGAAAGTCACTTAAATCAAGCAAAAACCCGATTTTGTTCACCTATTTTATTCTTGATTCAAAGTAAAATCTTCTTGACGGCATACTCAAGAATGTTTCTTTATCTCTTTTATTTCGATATATTTTGCGAGATAAGTTCCTTACTCTTAATGGATGCCTGTCATTCTTAATATGTTGGGGCTTCTTCAATTTCATATGATACTGTACAACACCTCTATTCTGAAATAGTGAAGCGCCGTGGGTGGCACGTTGCGGCGCGGCGGGCGGCCGGCCAGCACGCAACGCGCATTGGCGCCTACAAACCTAAGGGGATACTCTACGCATTGCGCAATGCGTGAAGTATCCCCTTAGGTTTATAGGCGCCAGTGCGCGTTTCGTGCTGGCAGCACGTCGCGTCACTCCGCTTTATGTTAGGCCCTATTATTTAAACTTGCGGGGTCAGCGTTTTTCAACTCGTGATTTTTGCATGGATTACTCTCATTTAAATGATAAAAAAAAAAAAAAATGCATGAAAGGAAAATATAATGTATGTTTTGTAAATATTAAGCTAGTTCCTTGTAAAATGTAATGATTTCCAAAGCTTATGAATTATTTCTTTTATATTTTGTGCTTTTCCTGTGCTACATTGTGGTGCACGCCCAACCAAACGCTTAAAGTAGGATGTATTTGACTCTAAAAGATCGATGTACAAATGGGCTAAAACTAAAAATTGTGTGCTTCTTGGTTTATTTCCCCTGTTATTCATTTTTTATAGTTTCTTTCAACACAACTACTGCTCATTGACTTTTATATAGGTGCACAAAAGCAAAGTTGTCAGTCTACTGCACAAACTAAGTTAGGCGGGTCCAAATCATCCATATCTTTGGTGTAGAGCAGCTACTTTTTTATTTCTAATTATTTACTTATTCCCCTGATGTTTGGACACTTTCAATACTCTCCACTCTTCCTATTAAGTAATGTCGTGTGCGCTGATTTGCTAGGAATGTAAAAAGGGAAATCCAAGCTCCGTACCCAACATCTAAGGGGTAAGCCACCGGCCGCTGCTTTGAGGTTGATCCATATTAATTCCCAGTCCGAATCCTCATCGCATCCCCTAGGGTGTCCAGTCGTGTGATATTTTGCTTCGATTTTGGTACCGGCAACCCCTGGAACTTTAATCATGATACTTGTGCATATTAGAGCAAGCTAGTCGGTTAGAGTTATTTTTAGAGCTGAAAATTTAGTGCTCGGGTCAATCTTTTTACGCCAAATTTAATGCGAGTTTCTTTGTTTGAAACAATTAATTAAAATTGCTCCCCAACTTTAATTACCGCAGCGCGGCGGCGGCTTAGTACATTTTCAAATGAGAACAGTTATAGTGAAGCAGTATCGTTTCTTAACTTAAGCTTGGACTAAAAAGAGGTCGAATTGACGAGACAAAGCGGACATGGAGGCTACGCACATTCCTATATCGACGTTAAATTTTTTTACTGCCGTGCTAAGGGAGAACGCCGTATGAACATTCGAGAGTTGCCAAATTTCCCCTCATTAAACATATTTTTTTGACAGCATTCATGCATATTTTTCCTTGAAATTTTCAGTTAATTTAGGTTAAATTACGGACAAAAGTGTCTGAAATGTTTGGAAAATAATATTCACAATTTTCTCATTAATTTCGGTTTTTAGTGGTAGACACTTGGCAACGCCTGAAGGCTCATACGGCGTTCTTCCTTAGCACGGCAGTATAGTAGGCCAGAAAACATGCTCTGCATAGGAATCAATATAGAAAAGTCAAGGATTTGTTAATTGTAATATTCACATGCTCTGCGCCGCAGAAAATTCTGTCAAACTTCAACCTGAGGATTTGATGGTAGCTCTTCTTTCTATTCTGATTGCTTTGATTCATAATATAATTGAATCGGCTCGAGTAGCGATTGAAATTAGAAGCCATTGTCTCTCTATGGCTCTTCAAAGAATTATTTTCACTATGATAAAGGTAACCAGGATTAATGAGTAAGGAGAGCACATTATCGATCAACTTATCTCAATATGACTAGTAATATAAATGAACATTATAACCTACCTAGTATGATGGGGGCCATTTGGTTGTTTTTGTAGTCAAAGCTCTCAGCGAATTCAAAACTTAGGGCGAGAAAAAAGATAAGGAGCTGAACGTAATATTTTGAATGACGCCAAAACCATTCTGCGTCCATGTTACGATTTTTTTTATTAAAGAAAAAAATATAATAATAACCTTTAGGCGTTTTTTACTCTAGATTAAGGAAACAATGAGAGGTAAAAGGAATTAAGATGCGATACTTACAGCAAGAGGAAAGTTATACATGTAACACCTGCTTGAACCGTTGGGGGATCTTTGCACAAGTGTGACATTATGCAATGATCACTGTGAAACCCACACCTTTCGATCGTGTTACATGATAAATGCACTTTTGCGTCATACCTATATTTCATTTTACCTCTGATTTTACCACCCGTAAATTCTACAAGTTTTTCTTCAAAAAGTATCTTTATACAATTCAGATAGCTATTCGACTCCAAGTCGTGGCGAAATCACCAAAAGTCTTATCATTTAAAAAAGAATAAATAAATAATGTTTCTAAGATTCTGGTAATATTCCGAATTATTCTTCGTAACGATTCTACGTTGAATATTTCACGATTTTACCCTTTCCATGATGCAGTAAACATTTTTTATCAATGTTTCAAACGAAAATCGTGACACTTTGGTAGCTGCTCTACCGTTAGGCTCAGTTATATCGTCTTCGCACGTATTATCATGCATCTGTGTTCCTCTAGATACTAGATACAAAATACAGTCATTATTCTTATTGAGTTCAAGAAAACATTTGTGTAATAGGTACGGTGTGTTAAAAAGTTTCTTCATATCATACGAAAGCTTGTACTTCTATTGATTTTGAAGTATTTTGTAGTTAAGGTGATTCGATGGACGCCATATTTTGTATCAGAACGGCATGCGATATATCGCATCAATTGGTTCCATTTTTTCAGCTACTCGTCATTTTTCTCCAATTTTGAGATCGCAATTCTGTTGTCAGGAGACTAAAGCACTCACTTACCAATTTTAAGGAAGAAATTCAACGTAATAAAGGCGTGGTTTTGTTAGAGAGAAAATATCGCATTCGATACTGATATCGAAACTGCACTCTAATGCGATATTTTCTCTCTAAAAAAGCCAAGCCTTTATTATACGTTGAATTTCTTCCTTAAAATTGATAAGTGAGTGCTTTAGTCTCCTGACAACAGAATTGCGATCTCAAAATTGGAGAAAAATGACGAGTAGCTGAAAAAATGGAACCAATTGATGCGATATATCGCATGCCGTTCTGACACAAAATATGGCGTCCATCGAATCACCTTAAGTGCGATTCAACAACGAATGAAGATATCCGGGACTTTTAATATTAACTCTTTTCACCCTTTCTCGTAGTTCACCCTACTTACTTGTTGTTATACACTCCGTGCAATCGTAAAAAATGCACATTTTAAAAACGAAGGAAGAATAATTTAAGTTAAGGGAGCATGCAGGGGTGCGCAACATGAGAAGAAGGAGGAACATGATAAAACGCTTGTTTTAATTTTTCAGTTGTTTTAATTTTTTAATTTGTTTATTTTACTGGATATTTGTTCCTCTCACAGGCTAGCTATGCACCGAAGGGTGCAAAGAAATTTTTACAAAATAATAATAAGAAATTACAAAAATATTTAAATAATGGAATTTCATTAACACGGAACCGTGGTGAAACTCCAGCAGAATTTGACACTTAAGTTGAACACACAATTGCTGACTGTTTTCAAAATATTTTTGCTTTTCCATTTGCGGCGCGTCGGCGGTGAGGTTAGATTCATACACTTAGTGGTATTTTTACACAGATCCGGATCTTTGTCCGGGGCAAACATTCAACACTTACAAATACATTTGATCAACTAAACATTCATAATCTGTCCATCACAGTTAATATTCCTAAAAGATTAATGTAAGTCACTAGATGGACCAGCACAATCACCGATACTTCACTATCTTTCAAGAGATGATAAATTAAAATTTTGAGGTTGAAAAAAACTAAACACGAGCACAAAGGAAATTAGAATATTAAATCGACTGTAATATCATCCTCCTTACTGCAGATAAATATAGCATCGAAAGAAATCAATACAACCTTAAAGCACGTTTTCTATGGAATCCATAAAGAATCAAAATGATTTCATCCTGCTACTCAAAGCACTCTCAGCAAGAGTACGATTTATTATTTGAAAAAATTCAGAATTGAAAATCCACGAACTTCTAGATTTTCCACATGAAAATATCAGAACATTTTTTGAAAGCACAATGTTGTAAATAATTACAGCATTTCGACCAATATCGCTTCTTTTCTCTACTTCACACTCCCTCATCCAACAGTATATTCTACAGATGTGAGGAGAGTCTTAGCTTAGTGTTTTTTAGTTTTGACTTTATCAATTTGTTGAGGCAAATTCTCTTTGGTGCCCGTGTTTTACAAGTATCATATCTTAATGCCTGACAATTTTTTTTGACTGTAAATGTAAAGTCAATGATGAAATTGGTGACCCCATAATTTATTCATTGACAGATGTGAACAAAATATTTTTAAATAGCTGTAGATTAGCTGAGAACTTCAAACAATTGTATCCATGATTGATTCAAAAACATCCCCGAGTCACCGAGGAAGGGAAAAATCGGATAATACCTGCTAAAAGAAAGATATCATATTTTGGAGACGACCGTATAATGGATATATTTGGTGTAAAACCAAAGACAACATGGTCAAACTCGTCGTCAACGGTGTTGAAACTTAGTGTGATTTTACTCTCAGAAGTTTGTATGAAAATGTCATTCATGTTAAGTGTATCTTGAATATAGGAGGTTCTTGGTTTTTTTGAGTCTATAACTTTCAAAGATGTGATCCATAAAATTATATTTCCTTCATTTCTGTCCGTTTGAAAACAGCTTTAAACAAAACAATTAACGTTTGAAAAAGATCAAAGCGTGGGAACAGTTTTTCAGTGTGTGTCCGACGTTGAGAGGTCAAGTTAAAGACGAATTCCCCGATAGATACTTCTCTTAATTTCTCTTTAAGGCACCCCTCCCCTCCCTCTTTATCTCTTCGGTGGATCTCTTCGGAGATGTCTAAGAATCAACTGTACCTTGAGACTTTAGAGTCCTAGGAGACGTAATAACGTATGTATACTTCAGGTTAATTTTAATGAGGAATAACTTCATCAATCACGTGACGCTGGACGTTTCTGACTTTGTTCCTGGTTTACAGTTTAGGCATGCCGAAAGCTCTAAAAAATATAAATCTGTTCCTATGTGCTCGAATAATTTCTTTCCCCCGCATTCGGTATTCACAAAGAATAGAATGACCTAAAATCGGCGTACCCGTTTCCACGACCGTGTCTCTCCCCTGAAACTGTGTACACAATTCGATGATTAAATTAAAAATCCCCGTTGCGTACTAGAACTCTAACATGGAAGGCAAGTGTCATTTCTCACAATTGGTCATGATACCTGCATTTTTGTATACTTCGTCCTTCGTATTTTAGGGTTCAAAAGCCTAAATGAGGAACGGGGAGATCGATTGGCACCAAGCCTTAATCGGTCATTGCAATGAAACGGAATGGTTTAACACAATAAGTGCTCAACATATTTCACTGTATGTCTTAACATGTAACAAGTCAATAAATATACGGAATTAAAACAATAGTAACAATAACTAATAATTTAGCGATAAAGTTAACAGCAACATCTCAACTGGTCAAACCAAACACATTGGTAAGATATTTACCCACAATTATATTGACTTACAAAAATTGTCGAAATTCAACTAAGTTTTGAAGTAGAACCGTCTCTCCGATTGTTCTTCAGGTGTCTTGCCTCCTGCCGTTAGGACATTGTAAAGAAGGATTGATCCCTCTGTGGGCCTTGGGTTCACCCATTTGAGGCTACCATAAAAAATCGATTATCAAGCTGTATACTCTTAAAATCGATCCTTTTTATAGACTTAAATGGCAGATAAATCGATTCGTCTCAAAACATGACACCAAACTTACAAAACCAACTATCTGCTAACAACAAATGGACGATATGCAGCAATTTTTAAAGACTGCTTTGGTTGTTGGTTAGCCAGACGGGAACGCAATAATGGGCTTGAAGATTTTTTGGAATGAACTCATTTCTTTTTTATTTTAACATAAACTGTGGTCAAGATTTACTGAGCTTGCGTTTTATTATATGCGTTATTCTAATGGAAGTTTTGAATGACACAAAATAAACAAAATTAAAATAATGGGCCATACGAGCTGCTCTAGTGAGAAATGAAGTAAGTCCAATAACATACTTTGTGTGTGTAAAAAAAAAAAAACGTTGCGTTACAAAAAATTAGAATAGCTCCTAAATTTGTCTTTTCGGGAATTTCTACATTCAATTATTTAATTTTTTATTTTTGTCCTCATTTATTAAAAGAAATGTCACAATGTCAAATATTGAAAGAAAAAACAGGTAGGAGCTTCAATAACAGGATAGCTTCCTACATACTGACATTTAACGTCAGTTTATGGACTTACTCTTTTCTTTCATCTTTAAACAAGAAAAAAATAACTCAAAACTATTTGCATAGAGTCCAAGATATTTTTCCAGCAGCAATCCAGTAGCATCATGTTATACTAATATTCAACAGCGCTTTAATTAGTATGTGCATTACATTATTCAAATCCTGTCTCTAAATAGTTGTACATAAAATATATGTAATCCAACAGAAATGCACATATATTCTTAAAATTCGCTCAGGAAGCGATTGTTAGAGTAATTTCAAGGCGCATTGCTGAATATCGATTCTATGTGATAGACTCTCTAGTCATCAGTCATGAAAAATGGGAAAATATGCCAGGATGCCACGAAAGGTGCCTATTAGTTGATCCAACTCAAATATTTTGCACCTATTATTCTCTTGTTTGTAAGATTGGCTCGCGTGTAACGTTTAAGGGGTTAAGGGAGGGGAGGATTTTTTGACGGTGTAAACAGCCTTGAATCATCTACGCTATACTCATATGATAAAAGGCAGACAGAGAGGACTCTACGCTTTGTGCATTAATGTAAAAATGAGTGATAATGAGAATGTAACTTTTTAATGGATTATTTCATAACTTAGTTTTGGTCAGTGTATCCCAGTGGCGAGGCGCGAATGATCGATTTATCGAGCATCTCCATTTGAGGCTATCGTAAAGAATCGATTATTAAGGTGTTCGTTGCGAACACCCTGTGAATTGAAATATTTCCATAGGTTTGAATGGCAGATCCAGCGATATATCGCAAAGCACGCCACGCTACTGGTGTATTCGAGGTAAAAGAAATGGTTACTGAGAGAACTAATTCTAAAATGCCTGAATTCATTCCTCAGATTGAATTTCTCTGCATTCTAAGCGAAAGTAAAGGCGCATTGTCGGGTTGAAAACCCCAACTCGGGAAAATGGCTATACTTGTATGAAGTGGAATCTTGTTAAACGACTTCTGAGTGAAGTCATGCGATTTAAACACAGAATACCTATTGAGAAAGGTGAAGTATAAGCTTAAGTATCCAAATTTTTGAATATAATTACACGTGAAAATTCGGAGTACCTCCACTAAATATTAGGGTTTAAGAGTGACGACGCGTTACAGATGCGAATTTGCAGTCTTGAGACAATTATAATCCTAATCTCTGCTGTTTGAAATGATTTTTTTCCTCACTTCTAAGAGAAGTGATCAATGAGAATGCTAATGATGATAAAAAAATACAATGAAAATGAAAGCATAATTTTTGCAAGTGGTCTGAGATATTTGTATGAGTACCCTATAGTTCATCTACTGCTAGCATCATCTGAAGTGGTGCATATCTAAAGTGAAAATATCAAAATCATACGTAGAAAGAGGATTATAAAAACCTTCCGAGTGGTGAGACGAAACAGGTAGGTTTGAACATAGATCACATCATTACTACAAAAGAAACGGTAGCTTGACTTTTCAAAATTCAAACAGTTTCTTAGAATCATGTCATAGATTTTTCTATAATACAAGAATTTTATATACACTGATACAAAAAGGAAAAGTTATTTAAAACATATACACGAATATGCGTATTTCAAATACGCGGATAGAATTGAAATTTAAACAATCCACTTGTTGCCGGAGATGACCAAAACATGGGGTTTGGTTCTTCGACGAAGAGGACAATTCATACATGTGGTCTTGTTTTATTTAAAAAAAAAAATTAAATTCAGAAGAAGTTTCCAACTTCATATTCATCTAATTATAAGTGATGTTAAGAGTGAAGACGATCCTTCAATTTAAAGGTCGCTTCAAGGAGAGGGAAGGTGAGGAAATCCAGTGATTAAACGGTTACAGCAACTATTAAGTATCAGAAAATAAAAAAAAAGTAAAGCATTAGAAGTCAAACTTGATGCTTACTAGTAATCGATCACATAATGGTCAATTAGCGTCTTGAAAAATCATCAATGCCTTGTTTTCAAATAATAAAACGATGAAGATATTTTATTCATTATTTTAGTCCAAGAGAAACAAACAGTGATTGTTTCATTATTTCTCGACCTTTTTTATTTATAGAAATGAAGAGATGGGAGGTATTTTCCGACGCAAAATAAATATACGCTTTTCAATATTTTATCGGATGTAATACAGTTCTCTTCTCACATTTCATCGTGCATAAAATAAGTGCAAAGTATCAGCTTCCTCACGACAAAATCATACGGCTGTTAATTTGCGTTCGAAAGATTACTTCCGTTCAATGAAGTCTTTTACACTATGTTATTTGGTTGCTCTCTCCCCTTTCCTGTTTTTCGGTAAAGCAAAAATATAAATCTAAAGAAAACCTAATTTTTCTTGTTTTCATTAATAGCAGAAAATATTTAAGGCAAGTAAGGAACAGACAAAATCCTACCCTTTACAAAAGGTAGTATATTTACAAAAAGGAATCGATTTCATACCGGTTTATTTACTACAGAGTAAAGAGTGCATATTTATGAAGGGTTACTTCTTATTTTCATCAATTTGAGGACCATGAAGACATTTACATTGAATATTAAGAGACAAAAATAACAAAAAGTATGATTGCAGACACCTACTGAGGCATACTAGCTTAGGACAATATGAATAATTTTCCATTTTTTTTTTTTTTTTTTTAAGAAAAATCAGAGTCAGCTCATGGTACAAACCCTGATTGAACACTTTCTGTCAAATCAAGGTTCAACCATAAACGCAGCCCGATAAATTTTCATCAGTTTCTACATTAACGGCATGTTAAGGAGCAATTCAAACTAATTTTTTTGTTTTAGTGAGTAATTTGTTTCTTCACTAGATGACAGTATTCTATTACGAGTACGCTTAGCCTGTAGTTTAGCGCATAGGCCTGGAAAAATCTTATCGGGTTGTAATTCTTTCCACATTGACACCTACAATTTTTGCAACCGCCAATATTTTATTTCGTGTCCATACAATTTACTATGTCCATAGTCAGTTTTTACATGTAAGGTATCATCATCATACAGGTTTGAGTTGCATTGGCCGCACAACAAGTCCACGTTATTGAAAGTCAGCGAAAAGTCATGCTTAGTCGGTAATCCATCATAGCTCTTACAGTCATAGAAAAATGTATGGAGTTTCTATCAGAGAGTTACAGCTCATTTGCATTTCTCCTCTTCTTCATTTTAATCTGTCGTGGAACCCATAACAATGAATATAATTTGGTCCGACTATAACTATGCACGAAGAAAATATAGTTTCTCCTGCTCATGTTTCTTTTTACTAGTTTCAATCGCTAGACCTCGAGTTAGACAAATTTACCTTTTTCATCTACTTTTGCAGATACTATACGATTAATATCTGCATGCAGATGGAAAAGGTATTCTCATTTAAAACAGGGTCGAACACGTTACAAAAATTCGAGCCAGCCGAATCATCCACGCTGACTAAACTAGCCGATAAAAAAAGACACAAGAACGATATAACAGTAGGAAGTACAAAAAATTACGAACAACTATGAGTGCCCCAGCCCCTCCATCTATCAGTAGCGTTAACTTGGAAGCTCCAGTTTAGAATGAGCAGGAGAAATACGAATTTGAACAAGGAAACTGGAGCCTGATTACTTTTTTTTTCTTTTCGGGCGCCAGAATAAGAGAGAGCATCCGTTTCAATTTTCAATGTTCCATTAATGCCACTCGGATTATTTTCATTTTTGCAAATGCTATTTCTGCCTTTATTGCTCTCCTTATGACATCGCGCGCAAATTTTAATCTTTTGTTCTTTAATTTTCCATGCTGGAAAAAAACTCAAAGCAATTTTTCAGTACAAAATTTGACTAAATGACGGCCTTTTTTCTAAGCAACTAGATTTTCCTATGAAAACTCTGCGATTCCTTTCTCCGTCTGGTAGCCCTGCCACTGAATACGAGCAAGAAAGAGAATCGGAGCACTGGAAAAAAAGTCGCTTGGATCTATAGTCCAGACTCTTAAAAACACCGACAAGAAAAAATAATCTTGATTCAATCGGATTTTTGCCTAAATCTAAAACCAAGTATCTTAGTTTAAGTGGATTTCCTTTTGATTCAAGCAAAAAGCCAATAAGAGTATTTTTTCATGTCATTGTTTTCAAGAGCCTGGACTCTAGATCCAAGCTACTTTTTTTTCCAGTGAGCCGCCTGGATCCAAGCGATAAAGTCGCCTCAAATCTGGTGCCAGGGGTTCAATCACTGGATTTCACACAGGGTTGCAATTTTTCATGAAAAATAAAGTTTTGAAATTTCTCGTGAAATATATCATGAAATTTCAGAAATTTGTGAAAAATATTGAAAAATACCAGTTCCTTTTAATGTTTCGCAAAGTGTGAAAATTGTGACTGTCCTCGATTTTTGTGTATTTGAGCGCGGGTTGCATACTCTAACCCCTGAAAAACATGGAATTTTTCACAGTCTCGTAAAATTTCACGAAATTTTCCACGGAAATTTCCAATCCTTCATATTTTTCATTTCACGCGTACAACCCTGATTTGACAGGACCCGATTGAGGCGGGGTCCGACATCCGTGGACAACTAACTGTAGCCTCCGGTTCAATCACTGGAGACGCCCGGCTGAGAGAACCGGACCTGCTGATGTTAGACGGCGTTGAGGGCCCGCTTGGAGCTGGCGCGATGGGAGTGGTGAGGGTGGTACTCCTCGGGGTCGTGGAGGGGGGCGCGGTGCCGCTCCGGGTAGCGCTCCTCGCCGCTGAGCCCGCGCTGGTACATCTCCCGCCCGCGGGGGTCCGGGTGGGCGTAGGGCCCGCCCGGCGGGGACTGGTGCTGCGGGTGGTGGTGCGGGTGCTGCTGGTGGGGGTGCGGGTGCTGCCCGTGGGGGTGGTACATGATCATGCCGTCCCGCGACACGACCGACACCCCCGAGTCCTCGTACTCGGACATCTCGCCCCGCTCCCGCACGATCCGCGAGCGCCCTCGGGGTGGGTGGTGGTAGCCCCCTGAAAAACGCATCCAAGTTACGAATAAATCAAATGAAGGGCTCATATTATTCTCGTGCAATAAGTATTTTGATGGCTAACGAACAATGCAAACCTATATGCAACCAATTGAGAATTTGCACACAAAAAATTTATTGCCTCATCTGAGAGTGCCTGATGAGCTTATTTTGCAGTATTTTTCATAATTTTTCTCTGACACTGGAAATTAGAGAAAAATAGATTTAAAAGGATGTCAGTTTTCCTAGCAGTACCATTTTAAACATGAAATTCACGAAATTTGAGACACCTGCAAATTCTCTATTCCGTATTATACAAACTGACGATTTTGCGGAGCGCAGAGGAAACTTCGTCATTTTTGTAATTTTGAGGTTAGATTTGTATTTTTACATACATTTCAGCGTCATTGAAGCGCTCCCTCTACAGACTTGGAAAAACTAAACTTATTAGCTTGCGTATTTTATACTACAGAATACAACAAAGTCGCTGACTATACTCCTTGCTAAAATTGTCGGTTAGGCGGTAATGTTCGTTAGCCCTCGATTTTGGGTCGCATTAATAGTCCTCCTTGAATTGCCCAGTTGTGCTGGTCATGGAATCCCGTTTTAATGCTTGATTCTTTTAGATTAGTAATAATGAGATCTGTCCAAGCAGCAATTTCTTACGTTCAATGCCAACCGAGTATCGCCCTTTTAAACATGCAGTTGTGACGTCATTCACCACGGTAGTGACAAATTTCCTTAATTTCTTCCACCTTGATTTCATCAGTCAGGGAGATACACATTTGCATTGAGGTCACTCAACGTGAAACTTGGATGAAAGCAAGTTGGAAGAAACCAAGGGTGTCACCACTGCGGTAGATGACATCATAAACCAATTTTTTTCAAAGTGCGATTGCTAGGTTAATACGCTGGAAGTTGATGTTTACACATATCGTAATAATTTTAGCTAATCTGTAAGAATCAATCATCAAAACACGATTCTATGACCGGCGCAACTGACCATATCATCGATTATAGGACATTTCGTCAACGATTTTTTGTCCGCGTACCTGTTTGTTCTAGTAGTTTACGTCCACGCATTTTTTGGCAAATTGTATGCTAAACGTTATTAAATACCGATGCTAGGATTTAGTAAGTTTTTGGACTACCGCTCTCCTTTTGTGCCGTAGAATCTCGATCTATTTTGCGAGAGAAGCTCCGTATTCTTAAATGATGCCTGCCATTCTTAATATGTTAGAGCGCCTTCAATTTCGTATGATATTGTGCAACACCTCTGTTATGAAATAGTTGTTTAATAAGGCGCCGTGACCTGCTGCTGCGGGCGGGCGCGGGCGGTCGGCTAGCGCGCATTGGCGCCTACAAACCTAAGGTGATACTTGAAGCATTGCGCAATGCGTGAAGTTTCCACTTAGGTTTGTAGGCGCCAATGCGCGTTTCACGCTGGCAGCACGCCGCGCCGCTCCGCTCTGTGTTATTTAAACTCGCGGAATCCGCGATTTTCAACTCATGATTTTGAAATTTTCGCACACTCTGCATAGATTATTCTCATTTAAATTGATGGAAAAAATAAGTATAAAAGGAAAATATGAGGAAAATAAGTTTTGTAAATATTAAGGTGGTTCCTTGTCAAATTTAATTATTTTCAAAGCACTTTGATTTTGTCTTTCATATTTTGCGCTTTTACTGGGCTGCAGCGTGGTATACGTGCAGCCAAACGCTCAGAATTGGACGTATTTGACTCTAAAAGATCGATGTATAAATGGTTTAAAACTAAAGATTGCAAGCTTCTTGATTTTTTCCTCTCTTCCTTTCATTTTTGTGTATAGTTTCTTTCAACCCAACTACGGCTCATTGAGATTGATGTCGATGCCATCGCTTGGAAAGGGTTTTACAAATATTTGCCACGTTTTAAAAATGTAAATGCTTTTATAATGAAGTAATATTTTCATTAAAAAAATAAAAAAGCTAAACACAAGATATATTTTATATCGACAATTTTAAGGATAGAAATAAATCCAAATACTCACCAATGACAATTTGAAAAGACAAATCAAAGGAAGGAAGTACCTAACATTTCATTTAAAACATGAGTTACCATAACAACACCTCTTTCTCTCTCAAATTGAGGGGGAGAGTCAGATTGAGAGTCTCAATTTTCTCATTTTGATACTGCCATTATAATATTACATGGACAAAAATATAACACTTGGACCGAGTCACTCAATGCTTATTTTACGCGTGGACGTCAATTACTGGACTAAACAAGTGTGCGGACAAAAAATCGCTGACGGAATGTCCTGAAACCTGAATTTTTGATTGGCTTGGCGTCTTGCGCTTCATTAGACTATCTGGAATCCAAAAAATAAGGTGTGTTGCGTGCAGATGATGCAAAAATTAAGGTTGTAATACGGAGAAGAGAATGATGTTAGGACTCTAGTGGGGACGAAGTAGCGCTCAATAGTTGATCAACGGGAGTTGCTAATGCTGGCGATTCTTGCAAATTGGCAACACTGTTTACCCATTTGACTGTATGTAGAACAATCTATTCAATCGATATATTAAATCGATTTAAATGGAGTATCAACAGTGTTGCCAACTCGCTGGAATCGTCATTAGCTAATGCTTTCATCTAGAGTCCCTTTATACCCAGAGTTACGACATCTCACTTTTGGTTGGGCTGAAAGTGGCCTTAAAAAAATCCAATTCTGATCGGTTCTCGCTCTTGGAGTCACAAATGAGTGCATCAAGATGGCGGTGCCTCTAATGTGAACAAAAATAATGAAAATATGACCAAATTGTAGTTTATCAAGAGCGAATTGTTATTTTCATCGCACCAAAATGAAAGTAGATTAAGAAATTATCCACTAATCAATCTAATTTTGTTTTATTGCAATTTCTTCGGTTAGGTTTTGATCAGTTTTGTTGATGTTGTTGTTTTTGGATGACAGACATCGCAGGATTCTTTATCCTTATCCCTCAATATCGTTCGTTTGGGTGCACACTTTTGTGATACCATGACCAGTTCAGGCCAGCTGATAATCGAGCCGTCTCAACTCAGGGTATAAAGGGACTCTATTTTCATCGATGACAGTTGAGGAAGTTGAAATTTTAGTGTTGCATCCATTTTTTAGAGTCCTGATAATGTTAAAATGGGATCAGCTGGTAAATTCAACTTTTTGCGTGGTTAACTTTCCCAAGGTTTACCTTGCGTCTCGCAAACAAGCAGCACGGGGAAAGCTTTGAAAAAACAACGCAATAAAATGAAAAAACACCTCAACATTCTGTTCAAAATCAGGAGTCCTAGGTGGGTTTCATTACTTTTAATGCTTGATGCACACCTCAGCCCTTCGTATGTCAATAAAACGATTAAATTGAAGGGATTGACTAGCCACAAAAGAGACAGATGAAGTGACTGACATGGAAAAAATAAAAACTGATGCGGTACATGACAGTTCAGCAATATATATGCTCTCCAAGGAAGTACCTAATGGCCGCTGCACTAATCATTGCTCTTAAGCAGTGTTCTGCCGTGCTAAGAAAAAACGTCGTATAAACCTTCAGGCGTTAATAAAACGCGAATCACCTGGTAAATTTATTAATATTTTCCTCCCGATTTTTCAGATGATTTCGTTCGTAATTTTACCTAAAGACTCTTAAAATATAAAGGAAAAATATTCATAACTTTCCGAAAAAAATATTCATCGAAGGAAATTTTGGCAACACTCGAATGTTCATACGAGGTTCTTCCTTAGCACGGCAGGGTTGACCAGCCACTAAGTGGACAACTACGAGATATTTGCGTGACACTGCCAGGAACACTGGCTATCAGATTGGACTGTACAGTGAAGTACCTGCTACAGATCTTCTTTTCTTTTTTTTAAAGAGCGTCCCGAAATCATCACAAACTAAACTATGCGCTTGAAGTATATTCATAAGTATCAGCTCGGACTCACTAGGTTAGAGTCCAGAGTGATAAAGAAAGACGGGAGAAGGAACAAAACATTCAATATTATTTCATGCAGTTAGATTGTTTTACTTAGCGCATGCACCTTGGGCATTATGCCGCAGTCCGCACTACAACCGAGAAACCCCTTTTTGGCAACTGACACCTGATTTTCCCTCCCTTCATATGCTCAAGGATGTTAATAATGGACCACTAGACAAGGTACGAATTTCAGCATTCTGATACACGTTTCTCAACCAAAATTTCACGTAAAACACGATGCGCACAACGAAAATCACCGCAATCAACTCCTTGCGAAGATATTCAATAATTCTTGATGCGTGAATTCAAACCACCCGCTAATGAAAACTCAATGCTCTACGTGATTCACATCACGCGCTAAACGTTTATCATGAACGTCTCTGCGATAAAAAAAATCTAGCAACCTCAAGCTGGACGCTTTGGCTCAGCTACAGCAAATTGCTTATAGTTTGAACAACACATAGTGGGAGATGAACATTGCTCGATTGAAAAGCTTGCTGAAACCGTTGTAGTGCACGATTTGACTCACGTAGAGCTTTGAGTTTCTTGTGAGCAGGCAGTTCAAATTCCTCGTAACCAATGTGTGAAGAAAGAGTTAATATCTTCGTTGAGAGTTGGTTTCAGTAATTTTCGTTGTGTGAATCGTGTTTTACGTGAAATTCTGGTTAGGAAGCATGTAGCAGATTGCTTAAATCTGTACCTTGTCTAATGGCCCATTCAGATGTGTTACATATTTGTATTTGTTTTGGTTAACTACATTTTCTTATTCCTTAAAATAGCTCTTGCCACTTAATTGTGTGTGATTATCTGCATGAAGCAACGCGTTGCCATTATTGTGCTCAACGATGATCATTTTAGTTTACTGTCGTGCGCCATCCATCGCTATCGGGGACAAGAATGGAATTCATCTCGGATAAGTCACACAATACTGACTTCGGAGCTTAATCACTTTTTTCTCTCTCTGACTATGAGCGAACATCTCTTGGAGCTGAGGCTCAGGGCACACGTCAATACACTATTTCAAACATGTTTTAAGACCCTCACGTATGACATTTTTGAAAGTTCTTCCTTTTAAAGTTGCTATAAAAGGATGCGAGGAAAACGCTTCAAAATATTTTCAAGCACAATATTATCCTTTCCAAAAGTCCCCCTATGCGTTTCGAAAGATGTAAACGGAGTCTTATACCTTTATGAAATGCACATTTTTTTCTTTTTTTTTTAAACGACTATTTTGACCCGCTTCCACCAAAATGCCACTATTGAATAAATTGCAAATTACAAAGTAACTGAAATAAAACATTCAAATGATGAAAACAATGGAAGAGCAGGCAAGTAAAATAATTACGAAAACCATGCCTTCTATATAACAGTCAAAAAGGAAATAATTGTGCGTAATTTGCAAACTGTTGAGATAATGATAAAAGACTAAATCATTACCTTCAGAAGCTATGTAAGTGCCTTCGAAATCTTGTGAAATACCAAGAGTTGCTATTTCAAGCCGTAATAAAGTTACTGGACCATTGACAGATATTAGGAACATTCAATGCACCCTCGATGTTACGTGCGTAATGTTTCCTCTGATTACTATTGTCAATTTGATATAAAACTTCCCTACATATTTGACTAGCCATCATCAGCAGTTGAATCCCTGAGTACTTTAGATTGAAAAAAAGAAGCAATAATAAACTACTAGGCTACATTTCTACTCGATGAATATGTGATCATCATCGGAAAAAAGGACCATATCGTCGAGGACATTGATTGAGATTCGACAAATTGGTAAGAGAAGTGTTTGACAATCTATTTGACACACCAGACGCCCAAAAAATCAAACAAAACATGAAGTACAACTATCTAGAGACGCCGGCTCAAGAAAAGAGTTTTTGAGAATATATAATTATGTTATACGGAGTGTAATTACTACATGTGCGCAGCTTAAATTGCTTGATCAAAACGCAACGTTACATACTCTAGGCACTAAAACAAAGCAAACTACTCGCAGTTTTTTGATAATAATTAATAAATAATTTAAGTTCGATTTTCCGACCGAGCAAACAGAAATCGCTCACCTGAGCGATTCTTCTCTTTACAATAAGGAGCTATTATTTTTGGCATATGTTAAAGAGCACTTTTATCCATACATAGGGAGCCTGGTGGCGCATATAGTTTCTTATTGCGAAATAAAGTCTAATCCTCCTCTTCAAACTGGGCAGGCTCTTTTTTCCTCAACAACCGCATTTTGCAATTGGAGAGTAATATTTACGGCTAACCTATAAGAGCACATACACAGAGGGACATTTCAACTCAAAAATTTGGTTAATATGGGAACTAAAACACAAAATAATGCTAGCAATTGGTTGAAAACTTTAAAAGAAAATGTCAGCTAGTTTTCTTGAAGAAATTAAATGAAAAACGAGAGGTGAAGACGAACGTCGCAATCGGAGGAATGCATTTTCCCAGTCTCTTCATTTTTTTCTGCGCGGAATTCACCGCAAACTGTATACCAAAATCAACACAAAATTCGTGTTGGTTTGTGTTTTAGTTCCTGCATTAAGCAACAGTAACACAAGAACACGAATATTTTTCTCAGTGTATCTGCATTGGAGAATTTATGGTACATACGTTTTTCTAAAATGAACCAAAATAGTAGTTCCTCATTGCAAAATGTAATTCGTATAAGATTGCTAACTGCACTCGAAGTCTTTGTTCTGCCTTAAGAAAAAATTGAATTTACGAAGACAATTGCAAACATGGAAGACTAAATAGCTAAAAAGAAATAAATTGATGGTAAAAACAAATAATTTTAGCACGCTGAAATTTTACTCTATGGTACTTACTGCTACTGATAAAGGTTATTGGTTGGTTAAGAGTAACTGTCCGTTTAGCGAATAGGCAAAAAGACGGCTAAAATCGGACTGTGACTTCATTTCTAATGACACCTTTCATTCCTTCCGATGCGGCCAAGATAGAGTTAAGAAGCGGAAAGAGATGATAGGACAGAAAAATAGAAGAGCAGAAAAAGAAAAGAGAACATTTAATTAGTAATATTGACGGAAAATCATTTATGAAAAGAAATAAATGAGTGATACAATTGAATGAGAGGTGTAAAATAAAATAATAGAGTAAAGAATGAATAAACAATGAGTAAACAATGAATAAACGATACAAGAAGCTTAATAAAGAGTTTGAAAAGTAAAGTGAGGAATTAAAAGTGAAAAGGGCGAACTTATTGAGAAATTTACAGTGGTGAAGCGTATTATAATCGGCTATCGATATTTTTGCATTTGAAGTCATGGCAAAAAAATCGATTATTACAGTGGTCATTTCAAATATCCTGATACTCGATCCTTTCCCATAGGTTTAAACGGCAAATCAACCGATTCATCGCAAATCATGCCACGCCTCAGAAAATTAGAGGAAAGAGCCAAGAAATAACTAAAGCTCTAAAAGCTTTTAAAGACAGATTCAGATCGCACATACTGAAGTGTAGTGAGTAGGCGCGTGAGTCTATGATTCTTGAGATATACATTGAATTCATGCAGGGAAACTAAACTTAATCATAAAATTATATTTAGAAAAAAAAGTCAAGTAAACATTCCTTTAACAGATGATAATGAATTAAATTTTAAATTCACTCTTTTCGCTTGATATTTGGAGTCTTAGACATTACTGAATAATCTTGTATTGCGAAAACATACAATGGGCGAAACTAGGGAGCAGATGAGCTATCCATCAGAAATCTACTCGGTTTTTCTAAAAAATGAGAAAAAAAAAAAAAAAAAAAAAAAAAACGGAGTAATTTTGCCAAGCAAGTCAATTTCCATCCTTGAAACAGTATTCAATAAATTCGGCAAGAGCAGCTCAAAACTGCTTTCAAGACTACTCAATTTTTTTCAAAATTCTTCCCTTCCTAAACCCCCAAGGATATCCATAGGACAAGTATTTCATAAGTTGTGTAAAATTTGGAGGCTGTAGAGCTGAGCATTAAACACCTTATTTAAACCTTAATTCCCTACCAGCTTGGATTTGTTTCAAACGGATTCCATGTTTTGTAACAATCTTTAGTAGTCAAAGTTATAAGCGGATTAACACAACTATTCAAGAAAATTACTATAGTAAGGCAAATTTTACATAAAACATATACTTTTGCAACCTAGATCATATAATTTTTTCTCTAAGATTTCATTACTGTCCTAACTTCGGTAGGAGTCAAATTTACCGAGTTTACCGAATCAAGCCAATTAATAACTACAGAAGCAAAAAATAATAGGCATCCGTCAATGGAAGGAAATAAAACTTAAGCAGCCATGGCTACATTTTGTTTCTACGTATGCTACTGAAGTTTACAACAAAAACATGAAAACATTACATCCGTGGCACATCGAACAATTACAATCAACTGTGATCGCCCACAGGAGAAGGTGCTCCAGCTACAAAAAGTTAAATATCGAGTTAATCATAAGATTGGTTACCGGGGTGTATTTTGCACAAAATATACCAAAAAGTGTTTAACATTTACGGAACTCGAGGTTTTGGAGTGCAATGTCATTTTACAACCTCTGTCGGCTCGAAATAAAACAAAACTGGTCGTAACCTTGTGCCTTTGCACTTAAGAATGTAAATCGATAACTCAATACCACTATGTCCCGACTTAATGGGCAAAAATACATATCGGAAACATTTACATTCATGTTTTAAAGACCATCTTCCTGTGGGCGGTTACAAGTAAAGTTATAAAGTATTTTAAGCCATTTTGAAGCATTTTATTTTCTATCACAAGCCTTTTCAATCGGTTAATCTAAAATAATAATATCTAGACTACGCATGCAATAATTGGCGAAAAACAAGCTAAAAGCGGTGAGCTGCCTGCTTTCAATATGAATCATATTGGGTGATGAATATTGGTGTTGTCAGCATACCTCTTTGATCTTGAGGATAATCATAATCTTCTGGGTGCAGGCCTGGTTGGAAGAAAAATTTCCTCGGATTATTTTTAAGAAAAAACAAGCTTTTACGTCATAAAATTCGGTAGCACCAGGAAAGTCAAACTCATTGTTCGCTTGTTGAACACTAGTCGGGGCCATTAAAATTAATTTACTCTGACTCAATCATGATTCGGTGCCAAAGTCAAACATTTTATAGGGCCAAAATTCGTTCAGAAGATTGATGTGGAAACTGCCTTAATTTTCACGACATATTTTTATATTAATGCTTGATCGTAGTTAAAAAAAAAATTGCAGTAACTCAAAAGTTTTGTATCTGAGAAAACTTATGTGCGTAATAAACGGAGAAACATTTATGGTTTTCATTGTAAATTGTTAAGCATAGCAAGAGGCGTTAAAATGAACTAATATTGAAAGTTAGTACACTGAAATATTACGAAACTATAGTTGTATATAATGTTGCATCCTACAAATTTGAAGGCGTTTCCCAAGTTGGTTACGCGGTAACCAATGATTACTCATTTTCTTCATATAAAATGCAAATTTAGAATTCTATAGACGTAATTAGATACTAATCTGCTATTTTTATGTACGCTTGTTAGTTATGGATTAGAAACTGAAACAGAAAAGGCAGCACTAAACATGTTGATCATTATGAAGTTAAGTTAGTTCTCATTAATCTAAAAGATGCCATTCAATATCTATCACGAATATATCTACCCCTATCTACGGTAGAAATGTATCCGTGTTAAATATTTCTATAATTACCTTAGGTATTTGTAATTATTTTCTTTGCTTTACCAAAAATCGTCCTATGCCTCAATAATTTTAAACTCTTTTCCAGATAAATCTAAAACGTCTAAACCCCTGCTTATGAAAGAACCAGCCCGAAAAGGGACTTCTTATTGCACGAATCGGTAAGTGTAGTTCCGATGCTTTGGTGAACAAACCATCTGACACAGAATACAAAAGTACTTTTCCTAAGACCCCAGGAAAACAAGGTGATTTCCAAGAAGCCACGCAAGTGGCAAAGGGTGAATCATCAATTCGGTATTTCCTCATTTGACGATTTTGAATACGGTTAAAATGCCCTCTCTCACAAGCTAACCAGCGGGCTGATTATTGAAATCAATAGACAAAGTGACAGGCATAGGAGATAGAGGAAAAACGAAGTTATTCTATTGGTTAAAATGGGTGGTTGGGTAGGACAAAGGAGGACTAACTAACGGCAGGCCATGAGAGGCCAGACACTTGGTCCGTCATTTCCCCCTAAGTCCATGAGAAGCACCCGTCTCAACCAATAGGATGACTCCATACTCTCTATGTGTTCTTTGTCTATAGATTTGTCTATCAATTTCGATAATCAGTCCCCAGGAAGAAAAGTGTGATTTTGGGAGTTTTGACTCACCGGGTGGTGTTGAAGTGACACGACCGAGGTTAGCGGGGTGGTCGAGGGCGGGCGAGGGCTGCTGGATGGGTCGGGGCACCGGGGCCGGCGGTTGGTCCACGGTGGGATGCGTCGCGCTCCAGTAGGTCTCCAGATAGTCGGCGATGTGCGTGCACGCGTCCTCCAGCTGATTCTCGTCTAGGATCAGGTCGAACATCTCCGGCGGGCACTGGGCCAGCTTCTCCGCCGCCACCATCTGCACGTTCAGGTGCCGCGTTTGCGACTTCCCCCGGGATTTAATCAGTCTTTGTAGCACCTGAAATCAGCCCGGATCATCAGAAACTCGGGAACATTCATGAGCGGCACTAGAGTCCCTTTATACTGAGAGTAGAAAAAAAAAATAACAACTTAATCGGCCCGAAATATATTTAAGTTGTTTCTTTACTAAGAGTAAAGACAATGCGAATCAATTTCTGATTGGTTCCGTATTTTAGGCCTACTCAGTGTCACAAACGGGAACAAAAATTAGTTTCACCAGTTGCTAATATTATAAAGTGGAATGGACCGGAACGTAGGAACTGCATAGGAAGCACAGCAAGGAAGAAATGAAATGAGATTGGGAACGGAGACAGGACTTTGGAAAAAGGTTGATCAAAGATTACAGCTAACGTTCGATTTGTGTGATCTTTATTCCCGTCTGTGACATCTACAATCGGCGTTCTCTCAACGCTCTCTATAAAGGGATTCTAAGTGGAACTAGAGACAAAGAGAGACTCTCCACTGGTCTTTAGGCGACAGCTAGAAACTTTAACTTTTGGAGATTCAACACTTACCTATGGAAGCAAAAGTCATCACCCTTTTCTGGCGTTTGACCCACCGAATAGGTAAACAGTGAGCTTCGGGTGACGTAATGAGCCAAAGAATTATGCCAAACTTCGGTGTGATTGCGAACCAAAATACCCAACACGCTGTGTAGCATCTAACTATTAGGTTAGTCAACACTTAATTGTTGAAGCCCCGAAAGTAAAAGCTTCCAACAATGTCAAGATACCGATGGAATGTCTCCCTCTGTCTCTGGGCGGAGCTAGGAACTTTTACTGTTTATTGTACCGCATACGAAGAATTTACATGAAATTTGAATAATATTAAAATCTAATCATTGTTCAAACTTTTAAAAATATGAACAAACAAACGATACTTTGTAAGGAAGAGACGATTCTTCGCTGCGCTAATGTGAAAAACCATGAATATACTTCATAATAATTCCTACTATTCGCATTTCTGAGTACTTTTTTGCGCTCGCGTGGAAAATGGAGATACATTTTATGTAAATGAACAAGGAATAATAGACTTAGACTTACTTTGGGTGAGGAAATTTTCAAATAGACTATACATGGTGCTAGCGAAGTTTTTGCTAACTGAGATGGATGGTTGATAGTATCACAATCCAAAACTACAAGCTGTAAAACAGAAAGATCAAATATTAATGAGTTAAATGAAATGAATATCTCTATAATATATCGTTAATAAACGCACTAATTGTGTTTGTTTCTTAAATATAGTGTTGATTTACTTTGCTAATGAATCATTTTCAGCTGGAGTTGAGTTTCATCAAAAGATTCTGTAAAATACCATCCATAATAAGTGTTTCGAGAGTGGAGGGGTTTTACGAGTAATTTTGAAGATTATTACTTAGTTCCTCGTGAGTTTGAATGTGGATCGTCAAATTTCTAATAATGAAGACTTAACAGTTCTGTCTGTTCTTAATGAAGAGTCCTCTCGATTTTGAACGTGAAGAATTTTCCTCTATAGGTCGGGAAAAATTAATGAAACAGAGAATATTTTTTCTCTAGTCTTCATAGCCGAAAGATTCAAATTCGAACACAGGCAAAATTTAACACATTTTGAAAAGGTAAAATATGCGTGATGTTGAGGTCTACATAAATGCGTAAGTCATTAATGTAACAGATTTACATGTACCAAAAACTTTACTGTGAATGTCTTCTTTAATTTTCGGGACATCGCATCGTCTCGCCAATAATTAATTTAGGTCCCAGAATTTCAATGTAAGGAAGAATAAATATGCGTTCCTGCCCATGCATTTGATAAAATTTAGATCTGATTTGACACTTATATAGAGTAGCCCAAAGGAGTGTCTCCAAAAATTGATTATAATTCTCACCCCCCCCCTCCCGAAGAAAAATGCTGCACTATCGTGTTGTCAGTCTTGATTGGGAAACTACTTCTATTTACAAGTTCCAGAAAACTTCATTTCATGGTTGCAAAATTAACTAAAATAAACCCATTTTCAAAAGTATGACTGTGACATTCGTGTCAAAAATTTGGCTAATTTTTTCGTGTAATTCAAAGAAAAATCAGTGAAATATTCAGTTAGCAACGCTCAACAATTTTCCAATAGAAATACAATTTGCTGGCAGAAACGATGCAAAGTTGAGATGTAGTTACATTACTCGGTCAAGCGGTTGTAGTAATAAATAATAATGAATATTGAAGCGTGAGGTATTGGTTTGATGATCGGTAGAAGACCCTCTCCGTCCAGAACTCGTTACATGAAGATGAAACGAGCAAAAACGGTGAATACCTGTAGTGTTCGGGCTAGTTCAAATATCCTCTCTATCTCGGCCTGGACTTCAGCTAGACAGGTGGATCGGGAATTAGAGCGCTCCATCACAGCTCGCTTCGACGGATTATTCAGCAACGATCGCTTCGCTAATGAAATATCTGCCTCGACTCGTGTTATAATTATCCTGGAACATAATGAAATATTCAACGTGATCATTAGCACGGAGGTAAAATTTCATAGAATAAGTTTTTTGAGTTTTTAATGAAGATTCTTACGGAAATATTGTAAATTTAACTTTGCCTGAAAAATAGAGCGCCGGGTATTTGTGTACTGTCCTGCCAAGTTGGAGGTGTTTTTTTGACATTAACTAAGGATGTGCTTCAATTGTTACAACCCATCACGGAAAAAATTAAATTGCTGATTTAACAATTTAATTGCTAAAAAAATTGACTGCAATGTTTCAATGTAGATTTCACAACACAAAATGCTACTTTAATCACGGGTGATTAAAATTGCTTACAATAGTGGTTAAAGTAGCATATTTTTGTTGTAACATCTACGTTAAAACATTGCAGTCACTTTTTTTAGCAATTAAATTGTTAAATCAGCAATTTAATTTTTTCCGTGCAGCATTACCAAAATGCGAGAATCATCCCTGTCTCCAAACAGGATTAAGCAGGGTGCATCAACAGTGAAAAAAATACAAATATAGCAGTATTTCACCAGCATGTTCTAAACTAACTATAGAGAGATCCAGGACAGAAAAGCAAACCTGCAGAGCGCGAGGTAACTCAAAGTTTTCCTGGTTTATACATTATTTTAAAAAAAAAAAAACAAGCCTCGTATGCGCCTTTGATCCGTGGGTGTATGCAACCGGCTGAGCATTTAGCCGCCTACATTAAACGTAGAGACACAAAGCGTGATGTAACAGTATCACTTTCCTTTCATAAAGAGCGCGCCATTTTCTCTTCAAACTCGCTGCACAAAGTTCTTTCATGTTTGAAACTTTAAAAAGCACCATAGTGGCTAGGTTACTGGTGTGCATTTAACGCATGGGCGTTAACATGTCGATTTCCAAGTACTGCATCTCGTGTATCCGTCGGGGGAGCAACGCCCTGCCCTGGTAGCATAGCATTTAGGGACGGCCATGCCGTGCACCGCTCCGTCGCGTCGCGTATCTCCGTGCGCGTAAAAAACGCCTTCAGTTATTGGATATGCAACGCGGTCATCCATCGAGCATTAATAGTTGTATCCAACAGGCGTTCTTATCATCGTCGCACGAAAGCAATTGCGAACTGAGCACTGAGCAGAGGGACATTAGCGCGCCTCGGTGCTCTTCATGTTTTTGTTTTTCACTCCCATGTTATAAGTACACTCATCGGAACGGAATTTTTTTATTTTAAAAGGGGTCCAACTTGACAAAAATGAAAATTCTGATCTATGCAGGAAAATGTTTGATAAAATCCTATTCATCTTTCATTTTATCTCCTCTATTTTTATTAGAATTACATTGAAAAGATACACTCGGATTTGATTTTTCTATAAAGTTGCACCACCTCTTAGAATTTATGCTACCCGTTTCACTGTTTAGGAATGAATAAAAATAACAGGGTTCCCAACTTTAGTGTCAACAGTGTTTCCTGATTCAAGCGTTTCTTAAGAACTTAAAACCTTCCCCTCGTATTAATTTTTTGCTTCCTGCGCAGTTATTTGTCCTTCGATAAGATGCTTTTCCAAATTGCCCCTTTTCCAACAAAATTACTTCGATTTTATCGAAAGACCGAAAAAATGAATGAATAAATAAATAAATAAGGCTGTGCGCATTGGGCACATTGCGCCAGTGCGCCACCGGTGGCGATATTTGCATAAAACATGTTTTTGTGATTCATGATCAAAATATTTTCTATCCCGTCAATTCACCTCTTAAAGTGTCATTTTCTACTTGAATAATAGAGCTAAAAAAATATCAATTTATCTGACTTTCGTTTCCGTTAACAGGCGTAAAAACGCATTTAATTCTATCGCATTTCCTCGAGTTGAATTCCGTCGCGTTTGAGGCGCGCACGCTTCATTGGCGGATCCAGCAAATTGGGAACATTGTCTTTTCTTCATTTAAACCTATGGAAATGTATCGATCTTTGGAGGGGCCAGGTGCTCTGGCAAGAAAAGATTATTTAGCATAGGTTTCAATGGAGGAGGAGGAAATTTTCGTAAATCATGATGCTTTTTGTAAGTAATGATCGAAATATTTGCTATTCCGTCAATTCACCTTAAAGTGTCATTTCTTACCAAAATAATAGAGCTGAAAAAAAATAACAATTTTTCTAACTTTCATAACCGTTAACAGACGTAAAAACGCATAATGGAGGAAATCCGGTGTTGCCAAATTGCTGAATCCGCCTCTGACACGTTTCTCCCTGCGGGCAAGTTTTATCGACAATACGGGATTCTTTTTTCCGCATGCTGCACTGTGTAGTCGCAGTCGCATTCTCACACCCTTGCCAAATATCCAATTCAAATCCTGGTTTTTACGTTGTGTCGAGCATAGTATTGTCGTCTGACGTAGCAGCCTCGATTCGCAGGGCTTGGACCTGCGCCAGGCGCGGGCCTCAGCCTGTCTGGCTCTCAGTGGTTCCGTTCTCGGGTTTATGCTGGGGGTCCATACAGCGTCTTACAATAAGAACCTTAACATCGGACCGTATATTGACGATTTTACGTATTAGAAAATTTAAATGCTACTTGAAAAAAAAAATCTCGGTGTATTTACTAAGAAAAGGGCAAAATTACCAAGAATTCAGGGTTCTATTTGATCCCAGTTTTTTCTTGGTAAAATTACCACATATGGAATTGGTAATTTTACCGAGAAATCTCGGTAAAATTATTGACTTTCTCGGTAACTTTACTGGACCCCGGTAAAAACGCCAATATTTTTTATCGACTGTGGTAGAATTACCGAGATAAAATGGCAAAGTTACCGGGAATTGATTACCAATAAAAGTGGTATTCTTGCCTGGAAGAAACAGTAAAAATACCGGTTTTTAGGCAAGCTTACCAGTCTGTCTTGGTAAAATTACCAATAATTGGTAAAAAAAAATGAGATGGTAAAGGTACCAACGGACCTTGGTAAAAACGCCGAGAATTTTTTTTCAGTGTAAGTACTCAAAAAAAAANAAAAAAAAAAAAAAAAAAAAAAAAAAAAAAAAAAATCAGATTTCTTGACGAGCAATGATGACCTGAAATTGTTGGTACTCCCCCCTCCCCTAAAAAAAATGTGTATGAAAACTGAGACCTGCACTAGGAATTCACGATTCGCAAAAAGTCACTTTTTTTGATGCATCTATTTTGAGAATTTTGCAACTCGAGCAGTCAAATTATATGACCACTGAAGTAAAGGATGAATGAGGGGCTTGAAGGACAAGGCGCATAAGTGCAGTTTTTGCTATTTCGAGAAATACGTGGTTGACGTTTCGGAAGTACATGGATCCTAATGGCGGATAGAAAGTTCAAACTGGTTTTTGATGCTTACAAATTGGAATTTTGGAGCGAATTTTTCACAGAATATGCATTAAGACCAGTTTTACTTTACTTCATTAATATCTTAATTTTTTTCAAAAATTGCACTCGTGCGTCATGTCCTCCAAGCCTCTCGAATATATCTTTCTTTCCCAATCGCCACACCCCTGCTACTCCTTGAAAGCACTCATTTACTCGTTGGGAATTCATTTTGGATTATTTTTAGAGGTAGTAGGGGTGCCATTTGGATTATTTTTAGAGTTAATCATCTGATGATTGAGAGTTGATGCTCAAAACCTTAAAATGTGCTCGCTAATTGTTGTGGCTTCTCCTATTTTCTCTAAAAATCCAATGCGTCCGTTGTGCTGGTCGCAGAATCGTGTTTCGACGCTTGATTCTTGTAGATTAACTAAAAATAATAAGATCTGTCCAAAAAGCAACTTTCCACATTCAATATTAACTGAGATATCTCCCTCTGAAAAGTCGGGTTTTTGAAGTCATCCACCCCTGTAATGACATACTTGGTTTCTTCCACCTTGCTTTCATCCAAGTTGCATGTTGAACAACCAATGCAAATGTGCGTCACACCGACTGATGGAAGCAAGTGGAGGAAACCAAGGATGTCACTGAATGACGTCAAAAATCCGACTTTTCGAAGGGCGATGACTCGGTTAATATTGAACGTAGAAAGTTGAGGTTTGGACAGATCCTAATATTCTTAGCTGATCGACAAAAACCTAGCATCAAAACACGATTCTTTGACCAGCGCAACTGACCCATTAATTTTTTAAAAAAAGAAAGTGTATTCTGTTAAAATACGAACCTTCCTTCAAACCTATGTTTAAGATAGTCAAACAGGGCCTTTTGCATCATATCGGTGACCTGGTAGCCTTTGAGCGAGGGGCCAACCAAAACCACCGGCCGCATAGACGGCACTACGTCGTAGGGTGCAGTTATTTCTTGTTTCCTAAAGAATGGTTTCCGCTTTTCTTTCGTCGGCGCAGACGTCAGAGACTTCCCCGGTAGCTTCGCGTTCCCCACAGAATCCGAATCTTCACCTGCAAAAGAAATACAAAATATTAATTATAATATCCAGGATTCGGGTAGTCGCTGTTTTTCTCTTACAATGTAGGAGAATGAGATACGCACTATACTGGAGATTGCTAAAATAAAGCATAGATGCACGTATTTCTGCCAAACAGAACTATGTGCATTATAACGTGAGACCTGTTATGCATGTATTCCAAGGCTATGCCTTGTCTTGTCGTAACGACATAGATTCAATATTCGGGCTGCTTGGAAGGATTCTAAATTTGAGACACAAGACAAAGGAATAAACCCAAAATCTTAGTTTCTCTTTTCATAAAAACGGCCCATAAATTTGTAAGGTCAATGAGGAGTATATTTATGAGCCTCTTGTGACGTATATAAACTAGTCAAGTCAAGGCACTTTACTCTGCTGCCTCTGAAAATTGTAATCATGCTAAAAGGTTAATTGTGAGTTGACCAAACGTCAATTTAGATAACGTCATAATGCAATCAGGAACTATACCATCTCTGGCTCACCCGAAAGAGTAAGTATCTCCATAGTTGTTTCTGATATGAGCTAGGAATTATGGTTCCTAATTGCAAAATGTAGTCCATATATCCGTATAGCCGAATTTGGCGTGTATTTTCGTGTTTTAATATTGGAATAAATCATCTAATGAATTGCATTATCCAATAGCAAACGTAACATTTCGCCGTAATTTTACAGTCTCGCCGTAAGACTAATCTTTAATTTTGATCAAACCTTCATGATATTTCTCAAGTCCAAGAAAATGCACTATCAGGGGGGGATAATAGGGTAGCGCTGACCCGATGGGAAGGATGTTTCCCTCCAACGATAATTTTCCTGTATGATTCATCGGTAAGTGAGCTCAGAGGTTAAAACCGTTTGAAAGCTCAATCACGACCATTTAAACTGTCATGTTGAGGAAAAACGTCGTACGAGCCTTCAGACGTTGCCGAGTTTCCTTGGATAAAATGCAAATTTTCTGGGAAACATGTGAAGATTTTTCCTTCGAATTATCAGAGAATTTTGTTTGCCATCAGATCTAAATTATCTGAAAAGTTAAAGAGAGAAAATTCATGACGCTCCTTAAAAATGAACGGTTTATCAAAGGATATTTTGCAACTCTCGAATGCTCATACAACGTTTTTCCACAGCACGGCATTATACTGACCTATCACGACACTAAATTCCCGCTAAACGCCGACTCGCGTTCGAGGAAAATTGCGCGCGACGAAGCCAACGTCGCTCGCTACCTGGAAGTTGTAGTTGCTAGGCAGGGCGCTTTCCCGAGGAGCCACCATAACGCCATCTGTCGCCCGGCCGGGCACTTACGATTTACGCACGGAAAACTGATGAATGGCCGGGTGACAGGCTGGGAGGGTCGCGGTTGGTAGAACGGAGGGGACGAAAGGGGGCAAGACGGGGACGTTGACGTAAGCGCTATTGGTATCGATATTCGTGCGAACCAAGCTGCGCGGTTGCCCTGTCTCGTGGAATTCACAGATTTTCCGTTAAAAAACGCGAGAGAAATAATCTAACCGTGCAATTTGACAACGCGCACGATGGCAGCGATGCCACGTCTCTCATCATCGATGTATGATGTGCGATTTTGCATCGGCAACGTTGCGTTTACGCAGTGGAAAACACGAAAACATTTTTCAGCAGAAGACTTTCGTGATAGTTTGGGAGGATACTCTCGGGGAGGCTACTTAATATCCTCAAGAGGGCTCTATCTACTTAATTACGTCACGTTTCCGTGGCTTAAAATCTTACACTTTTTTTCTCCTCTTTATTTTTCATTTTCAAATACGACTACAAGGTTTTAAATAATTTCATAATATCAGTGTACAGCCGTTCGTACAATAAAATGAAAACAAACTATAGGCTTTGACCAAAGGTCGTAACTTAAAAATACATCGTGCGTCGTGGATACTGTCATATGGAAACAGAGTGAGAAAGGAGAGAGATCTTTTTTTTTTTTCAAGCGATACGTTCCGCGGTCAAACGCGTGCCATTTTATGAGATTTTGACGTGAAGAAGATAATTTTGTTTACTTGCCAATGGAGAATTTGCACCCACATTTTTTCTTTCTTCATCCGAAAGGCCTAAAAAGCTGATTCTGCAGTATTTTTATAATTTTTTTCTGCTATGGGAAACAGTATAAAAATAGATTTAAAAGTGGAAATATGCATCGCGAAGTGACGTTAGCTAGAGACATTTCCCATTTAAACGCATGTATTTTAGCAGATTAGGTTATTTAGTCATATTTCCTCCAATAATAGTCCAATTTAGAAACCAAGGCTATCCTCGTGTTCAGCACACTTGATATAGCATTCACTTAAACACGAAATTCATCAAATTTCAGACACCTGCAAATTCTCCATTGGATTTTTGTACAAATTTTAGTGAATTTTCTGCGTATTACGAAGCAAATTCCGAAAATGATCAAAGGAATCCTCACGAACGTTCTCTTGTAAACAATCGAATTGCCCAATTAAATTAGCAATAGCTGATATGGCTTCGTTCCTTTCTGCAAAACGCGATCCGTTTTTTAATACAAATTGTATAATTGGATTGCATTTTGCAAAAAAGAGCCAAGAGCCATACCAATGCTTTTAGGATTGAACAACTTAAATTCTTTGCAAAAAATTACAGAAATCATGACAAAAATTAAACTTACAAGCGCGATTTTCGTCTTGAATTCGTAATTTAAAGAGATTAAAGATAAAACTTTTTAGATGATCAGTTTCTATTTGCAAGGTTAAAAAAGTTGCACAATCTTAGCGACACTGGAATGCTTGTGGTTCTTTTTTGCAAAACGCTCTCTCTAACGTCATGATTATGGGCTGATTTGTTTAACCTAAAGGAGAATATCTAACGAAAATCCCTCGTGTTGGGTCGACAATGCACGGAGTTAGTATAGTGTGTATCGCGGATTCGACGACGTAATGCGAATTGCATAACATAAGTAGCAACATGCACTGCGGGTTGTATCGGGGAATCGACTCGGGAGCTCAAAAGCTGCTTGCATCGCGAAGCCGCCGTAGCGTAGGTTCGTGGAACGGCGGGTTGCAGCGTCGGGATGTGGAGTGCAATTATGCGGCACAATTTGTCTGCCCCTCCTTATTTATTGCCGGCCGACTTGCGATTCGGGGAAAAATTGCTGTGCAGTTCCTCAGCGTATTTGCCAAGTTTCGAAAGGCGGTAGACAGCCAGTTTCTGCCCGAGATCCTGACCGTTTTCTCGTGCAATCTCACAAAGGCAGACGATGCTTCGGGGAAAGTCGTTTGGTTTTTGTATGGTTTTAAACCGACGCAATGGAGCGTTGTATCACGCAAACAGATTTTGAAATAAAGTGCGCTGCAGGAGCAGGATTTTAATTGGGAGGATACTTTTTTATACTTGTCCTCTTTGATGTGATGGAGGGAGGGGTTTTTAACTCACGCAGATACTTGCTACATCAGAAACAGACTTTCAAAACAAGTAAAGTGAAACATGTAAACAGAAAAATGTACGGAAATATTTGATCATTGTTGCACAGTAAGACAATGAAATGGACGCATTTAAGCGAAAGAAATGTATCTGCATTGAGACTTTTGAAAAGAGGCATATATGGGCGATAATTTAAGACTGCTCTTACCGTCATTTTGCAAACGAAGGTACTTCATTCCACTCCAAAATTGCAATATTGACTCAAATAACAACTCAATTATTTTCAGGGAAATGAAAACGCAGCTCAAATCTGCAATTCTTCTAATTTTTAGGTGTAATCAGAAGGAAACACACCTGTCAAATCGGTTCCATAGGAATATTGTGAGAATTCCTTTGGAAATCGGAACACAGGAACCTTAGACGAGCTTGCACGGACCACCATGTCAGAACTTTAGAGGGTTCCCTTAGATCACGGTAGCTGCCGATGGGATCAGTTCCTGTTGGTCTCTTCATTCAACCCATAGGGACCCATCCAGATTTCGATGGGTCCCTACAAAATCCTTAGCTCATTGAAATCTCTTGTGTCCTTCGGGGACCGTTTGGTCAGGGAAATTTTGTGTTTTTCTCATCTAGTTCCCTCGGGTACCTCTCTAATTCTAATCTCTTTCATAGTATTAACTGAGACTGTCAGAAGGTTAATTCGACCTTTATCTTTAAGAATTCGACTTATATCTAATATAATCTCAGGTCATCTATTAATAATTCTCTTAGGAAATTGGGGGTACTGACCGATACATAAGCACGACAAGCTAGCAAAAAATTTTAACGATAGGAAATCAAAAGCCCAGCGATCAGCCAGCATCTCAACCCTCGATGGACACTTAGGATATTCGTTGGAAAGCCATCTTGGAAATCCGGAGAATCCACCTGAGCTGAACAACATTCGTATCTCACTGCCCATAATCATTATCATACCGTAAAGATTATTTCTGTTAAGCGTCGTTGGGTTAAAAAACGGATCTTCAATCGGAGAAAACGCGAAAATCGATATCACAATGCCAAGCATAACGCATTACGTAGCTCAGGTTCAATTCAAATCCCGAGCCGTTCAAATTTGCAGCTGCGTGTCTCTCACTTTGCTAAGTTCGCCTTCAATAAGCGTGACTACAATTTGAGCGGCTTGAGGGCACGAATAGTTGCGTGCATTGTAGTTTTGTCACTCTCGTTTCGTCCCAGCATTGAACACACGTTAATTTGGAAGCGAATATAGTGGTTTGGTAACACCGGACTCCGTTTAAACTTGTATTGAATAATCGATTCTTGCGGTGCACACGGACCCTCCGAGAATCGATACATTTCCATAGGTTTAAATGGAGTAAAAGAGCGTTGTCAAATTGAATGGTGAATCCGCCAACGATCATGGGGGATAACGTGGGAATCTACCCCGATCCGACCGAAATCGACAGAGTAACGAACATCCCACGTTTCAGCTTCCACGCTGCGTCACCTCACATCTCCTACACCCCTCCCCCCGGTTTCCTCCTCACCCCTCCCTCCTGATCGCACCCCTAT